CAAATTTTTTGAATGAGCACAAATTGTTAGTTTAATTGCCACTATATTCTTGGGAAAGAGAACATGGTGTAAAAATGCTTTTCAGAATATCAGTTATCAGCTAATTTTCCAAATGCAAAGCAAGCACCTTGTAATGCTGTTGTTTTCCTGCTTTAAGAATAGGACATCACTGCACTGTGCAGTATGAGCAGATAGCTCACGGAGTGCAAGGAGTCTTGGATTTCTTATTGTAAGGAGAAGGTGAAAATGTAAAACAGCCCCATGACCTAGGGCAGGTTAGGAGGATCTGGAGTGATCAGGTTTTGGTTTGGCTTTTGTTTTCATGGTTCTGAAAGCTTATAGTTTCCTCATTGCTTTCTTGGTTCCTAAAAGGGCAGGGCATTTTCCTCCCTCTGTACAACTCTGCTGCAGGATTGGTGAGAGTGGTAGGTAGTAAAAGGGATTTGTAGTGAAAGGAATGCAGATGGACAAGGCACTAGCGGAGGCATCAGGAGCTCTGGCACTGATTTATTGGACGAGTGATTTGGGGCCACATGCAGTAAACAGTTTGAGCATTGTTCATAATCTTTAAATTACCTCCCCAAACTATTTCAGCTGAATTCTATGATCGCTGGACTTTGTTTTCTAGTGTTCTGTTTCTGCCTTAATGAGTCTTTAATTTCTCTCTGCTCAGGGGCCAGCTTTAATGGAACAGTTGGTGGGTATTCCTTTCCTGACAATCTTTTCTCCTCTGAGATCTCCTCTTTCAGATCCTTCCAATATTGGTGTTCTGGGAAAAACATATCAGATTGACTCATAAAAACTGTCAGGGGAGATCACATGTTGATAGAATCAAGGGAATCATTGACAGATACCTAATTTCTCATAGTGCTGAGTTATTAATGGGAGCTGTTCCTAGGACAGTGGCTTGAAATCTTTCATGGTATCATCAGTTAGGATGGTGTTAGAGACTCAGGGGGACTTAGGACATGATGTTTCCCAAAGGGATAAACTTTTGCCCATCAACTGGTGAGCAGCATCATCACCTTCTCTGTAGGCAGATGCTGTTTTGCTGCCAGGTTCTGCTGAGCCCACAGTTTTGCAGAATGTTATTTGTAATCACGACTGTAAGCTGTTCAGCCTGAGCTGGAAGCAAGAAATCCCAAGAAATCCTAGGTGGTTTTTTTTTTTTTTTTTTTTAAGGATGATTCTGCACCGTATGCTATGAGATACAATTTTGAGGTACTCTAGGAAATTTTGAGTAAAAATTGTTACCTCTGGGATGTACAGTCCTCAGTGACAGGGAGAGGGAGCGTGACTGTGTTTTATGCTTAGGTATCTATATGCTGATTCAACTTCATTTTGTATTCTTAAATAATTGGATCTATTTTTTTTTCCCCATCACATTTTCATATTGTCCATGCTTATTTAACTTTGGAAAGCATTTTGTGATCAATAGGTAGAATGTGTTTATTAAGCAAGAAGTATCACTTTATTTAGTTGACGGTTGAGCTATGGGCCTTGTACAGATTTATAGCAGAGCATAAACCAAGGGAAAGAGAAATAAACTGTTATTCAGCTGAATTACAAATACAAAGAGACCTGGCTTTGCCTCTGATTTACTCCAGCTGTATGAAAGGCACATCATTATCTCTGGTAACAGAAAGGACACCTATTTTCCTCACACATTTAAATTATACAAGTCCAGGAGTCTCCTTATAGCATTATTCACCCCCAGAATCCCAAAGTGGTTTTTGTACTGAGGCTGTATGGGGAAATTTTGTCCCTGAAGGAGAATTCCTTGTGGGACAGAAGCTGGCATTTTCTCATTGTGAGCAGAACTGCTCTGGAGCGTAGGCAAGTGGGTTGGCTCTGAAAATCAGTTACCAGGAGGTGAAAATGGGCACATATTGAATAGCAGGGGAGTTTTTCTCTCTTCTCTAAAGAGACCACTGTAGGTTTGATACTGATTTCTTTCTGGTGGTTTTCACTAGAACACTACTTGGATGAGACAGTCTCCAGGGTGTTTGTGGTAATGGTGCATGTTCTGACTTCAGAATGGAGGACCGAGTCAGCTGTACAGCTAGCAAAATTCCCACTGATTGGAGTTGCTGCAGGTCAGATCCCAAAGGCTCTATGTGACGCATTCCTGAAACGAGCAGCAATCCTGTTTTCCTCATGCTGGCTGTGTGGCTACTCACCTGACAGCCTTTAATTTGCTACAGCTCATCTTTTCTAGTTGGATCTGCACATTCATCCAGCACACCAAAGTTTTCTGTTCCACGTTGTTTCTGTAAGTGCAGCAAGCCATAATCTCATGGAGTCACACATAGTCTTTAAGGAACCCCCTACTTACGCTGCTTCTGTGGTCAACTAGACTCAAGGGTCAGTAGTTTTTTTTTTTTTTGCAGCACTATTTCTTTCTCATCTCTTACTCTTGCTTCTTTGAACCAGGGCCAATTTTTCATTAAGGAGAACTCAGCAGTAGAAAGAACACGTGGCAGCAAAAGCAGAGTGTTTTCTTTCCATTCCGTATTGCCACACAAATTTTTATTTTGAAATCTAAATGCAATGTGTGGTGTGCTGTTTTTCATCTCAATGAATTGGTAACTTGCTTCTCTGTATGTTGTCACCAACAGTCTTGAACTGGGGAAAGGCAATCTCTCCCAGTACTAGTCCTTTTTAGGCAAGGATAACAGAAGCCTTAGATGAAAGATTATTATATTCTTGTATTCAGACAGTCTCTCAGGGTGATTTTCTTTGGAGAAAAAAAAATCAGTAAAATTTGTACCTCCAGGATCCTGTCCAAACACTGCAGTTTATTTCATGCCTCTAAGTCAGAAGTACATTAATCAAAATACTTGCCACAGAATTTCTAAGTACCTCTTTACTGACTGATCTGGGCTGTTCCCTGAATTGATCACATGTGTAGATTAAATGCAAGACTGAGCAACAGGATGTAAATTGTCCTTGTGGACTTTTATTCTTCCCTGTGTGAGGTTGGTGAATAGCACATTCCTAATTGGGGATGTTTCAAGTAACCAAGTGCCTGATCTGCAGTCAGAGGGACTGGGGATTGGAAAAGCTCTACATGTGTGGCCTGATGAGCACAAGCAATCCAACTCGGAAGCAATGCTGCCCATCTACTGAGGGTGGTTATTTTCAGCTAATGAGTGGTTATGTCTTAAGATGTGCTAACTTGATCTCTTGTAATCATCTGTGCACATTTTTACTCTCGTTGGAGGTACAGCGTTGAACAATTAGTTAAGTCACAAATCACTTAAATATTAGGGAAGGAATTCTGCTTTCTGCTGCAGGCTTTTTCTTTCAGCTTCTCAGCCCACAGTGCTGTAGACAGAGAACAAGGTGGTCGTTTAGCACTTCCTTAGTGCAAATGCAACTTCTAGCATAAGGGGGGAACGTTTCAAAAAGTGGTCTAAAATCAGACAAAACGTATCCAGAAGGAATAGTGTTATGGAGATGCTAAGAGGCAGCTCACAGACAGAGACTGAAAAATCTGAACAGGATGAGTGGTGATTTCCAAGCATCTTTTGCTTTGCTTAGGCCTCCTGGAGAACCCCATCCAATAAGCAGATGCTGCCATGGGAACAGAAAGAAGGAGCCCTTTAATATTCAGTGCATAGAATAGATTTGCTATCAGTGTGCGCTCAGGATGGTAGTGTTTCTGAGTTAAAAGATGCAAGTGCATGGCATTGCACTTCCCAATGAAAAGCAGACTTTCCAGAGATTACAGATAAATACCTAGATATCCCAGAACATAATTTGAGCAAGTTTCAGACTACTGACCAGAAGAAAATTCAACTCCTGAACACAAAGATGTGTTTGTAGCTGTGAACACTATCAGACAGGGTATCTAGATTATGTCAGACAGGCAACTGAATGTAAATAAGCCTGAAAAATTATTTTACAGTATGATTGTAGGTGGTAAAAAATAACAGTCATGAAGAATTATGGTACCAGCCAGGATTACCTGTATGTTCCTACTCTGCTCTCAAGGCTTCCGTTTTGCCTTTGAAATAATAATAAAAAATGCTACTACCTTAATACTTCTTACATGTCAGCTCACACCCCCTTGGGTTAATACATTCTGCAGTCTTGTTGTTTACTTCTCATTAAGCTAAATGTTTTATGCAAATCATCTGACATAAAGCCAGACGACCAATCTAGAAAGGCTGTAATTCCATCTGATGAGTTCATTCAACTGAAATCTGTACTTAATTTCCATAATTATACTACCCTATTCTCATAATGTGAACTGATTGCTGCAAAAACACAAAATAACTAAAATGCATTCAGATTTAAAATATGAAAATGATACGTCCCTTTGGGCACAAGTGTTATGTTTTACAAACAGTTTCTCTGTTTTCTTTTTTTTTTTTCTTTCACAAAATATCTCTTTATTTAAGGCTGTGTCAGCCTAATTTAAGGACTGTTAAAATGATAAGAGCCATTCGTAATGCAATTTTGTCTTGATAGAGGAAAAAAATGGAAGAAAAGAAATCTGAGGAAAAAATTACACCAGAGCACTAACAATTATATTAACGTGTCATATTCAGAACCCTGAAGATTGGTATCATCCTTGTCACGCAGCTTAAACTTAGAGCAAACTGACTGTGTTGTTGCTGACAAGTCTAAGTATCTTCTTAATTATGGAATCGGCCAAATTAAGTCACTGCAGTACCAATCAAGCTGTGAAAGAGCTAGCATAGAGGCTTTTCACATGGCTTGGAGGAGATGACAAAGGTCTGAGCTTCCTTTTGGGAAAATCTTGCCTTTCAAACGTCTTGTTTGATTGCCCAAGCCTAGAATGGAAATCTGTGTTGCTTGCTTTGAATGGAATTAATTGTTGTATTTGAAGGAATCTATTCTAAAATACAGACATCTATTTAGCATGCACTGTTCAGCAGTTCCTCAAACGTTCTGAAGTTGGTACTCAGCATGGCTACACCAAAGACTAAGTCACTGAGCTTCTAGAAAGCCAGATGTTTGATCTTTTCCAGTTTGGTTCTACAACCACAGTTGTACTGAAAACAGAAGTTACAGAATGTGACAGTATAAAGATGTGGAAACAATATTCAGAAAAGCAGTGCAAAAGAGGCATTCAGGAAGGCTGAATGCCATTGACCACGCTGCATTACCAGTCTCTGCGTACGACCTTCGCCACTGAAGTGATCCACAAATCACCTATGAAATCAACTTATGGCTTTTACCCATAGAGTAAGAGCAAACTAACGAATCCATCTCACACATGCTGTGTAAAAAGGTACTATGATATTCAGAAATCTATCGTTCTGTTTAATACAAAGCCTCTTATTATTTTTCTGTCTCCTGCCTACAATAAAACATTTTTTCCATGTGTTGCTCAGAAAGGTAGTAGCTGTTTTTGCTAAGGGTCATTGACTCTCTGTCAGATTCAGCCAGTTTCCCATATGCTGCATGGTCCTTCTCCAGTGCCAGCTGAGGGTCTTTGAGTATACTGTGTTTGGTGGCTGCCCATTTGTCTGCCATCTAGGATCTGTGTTACCAAGTCATTGCTTTTTTTTAAATACAGAGTGGGACACCTTTGACTGGTAATCTCTCTGAGGGTGCAATGCTACAGTTCAGCTCTACTAATGATAATTGTAATACTGTGCTTAGAAACCCAGCCTCCTTTAGGTGGAATAGGAAATGGTGGCTATTTCATTTCTGTTACATTTTTAATCGTTGTTGTCTCACGTATTTCTTCTTCGTCTAGGCTTCTTTTGTGTGTAGTAGGAGATGATAGGAATTGATTGAACTCTCTATGCTCCCAAATAGCAAAGAGCTGAAAAATAAAGTTCACTTTCCTGAAATCTTCCAGTTGTTCAAGAATGCAGTAGACAGTTATATATGATGGATGCTGAAAATAGTTAAATATGTATGATGGATGCTGAAACCAGTGAAATATGGCACGCTGCTCTGAGTCTGTGCTGCAGGAATTCTATAGAATGAAGATAATTCTGCGTTACCATGATGATCTTTCTGGGAAGAAAGAGAGCAGAATCACATTATAGCTTTCTAATAAAAATAAGCAGTAATCCTGTGAAATTCAAGCTCATCCAGCTAAATCACTTTAGCTTTCTCTTATCCCTAGCTTAAATATCCTCAGTTGCCTTTCTTGAAATGACAAACACAGATAAACAGCATCAGCTATTGCTGCGTGGGGAGATGGGAGGCAGCCTGCCTGCTGTGCCCAATAGCATTGAAATATGCAGGCTTACACCTGGCTTTGGTCAGGGAGAAGTTTACAGTGCATTTGCATTTGGGAAATGCGTGAAGAGCGTGAAGAACTTCTGTGCAGTTGGCTTTGCCTCCATTCAGTGATTTATTCTGAGAAGGTGCATCTAGTCGAACAGAGCTCCTTGCTGGGACGCTTGCTGGTTATGCTTCAGAAGAAAAAGTGTCACTTACTTAATTGTCAGCAACACTTCTTGGAGCAACTGGTTATTCCAGAAGAATGAACTCTTGCTTATCCAATTAGTTTAATGAACTGGAAGTGTCTAAACCCAAATGCTCACGCAAGCTAACTGAAAAGCTTTCTGTACTGACTACAAAGGTTGTTCATAGCCTTACGGATTATTAACTTTATACTTTGTAATCAGAACTCAGAAGAAAATATTGTTGCATAAACCGAGTTCCGTGAATTTCACAGTTGAGAGGAGTCCCTTTAAAAAAATAGATAGCATTTCACTTGGATACTGATAGGATGAAGAGGCTAATGAAACCAATTTGAAAAGGATGTCATTTGTTCTGCAAAGTGTTGGCCATTGTAGATTCACTCATCTATTGGAGACAATGACCTAATTTTATACAAGATGAATCTAGTCCTGGAACTAGCAGTCTGGATTTGCATATGCTGAATGAATCTGCTTTTACCAGGCTTATTTGCATGAACCAATTTGGATGCAGTGTGGTCATAAAAAGACTCTTGCCTGTGTTTCACTGGAGTTTTCTAACTGGTAAAGCATAGTAATTATTTAATAGAGAATGTAGGAATATTTTTTAGTGTCTGGGACTCCCTGGAATTTATTCTGAATTAATCTCAGTATATTATTGTAATAGCGATCAGCAAATAACATATTCTTCTGATTTTTCTCCTCTCTTCTATTTCTTGAAGCCTCTTGAAGTTGCAGTCCAAATAATCTAATAGAAGGCATTACTTTAGGAGCAGCCCTTGCATCTAAAATGAATTGGATAGGTTTTAAATTGCGTACAATTCCCATGACTTGCAGCATTGGTTTGCATCTCAGTTGAGCAGATTAAACAATTAGTACTCCTTCTATTGTGTTTGTATGTATGGAAGCCCTTCCTAGCTGATGTACTACATGAATATCATCACTTTTAATTTTGCCTTGAATTCTCTTTTAATGAGATATCTGTATGCATCATAGAACTCACTGGTATGTATTTCTGAGGAACGCAGTAAACTGACCTGCTGTGAGCTTTGCTGGACTCCTTCTGGAATCTTGTAGGTTGTTTGCAGCTGGCTGCTCTGTCTGTACGCTGCACTCCAGGCTGTGATGCAGGCACAACCAAGATTGTTTTATTAGTACAACTTTTCAGTATATTTATACTAAAGCTAGCAGATAAAACACCGTCACTATAAATGTCTGTTGCTGGATGCACCTCTTATTAAGTCAGTTTGCAAAGTGTCCAGTTAAAGCGATATCCAACATTTAATAGCAAAATATATGGGTTTTAGCTGCAGTCGTTCTAGAGATCAGCCCTTGTGTGCAGTGAGAATTGAATAGTCATCAAGAAAACAACTCAGAAAAGGATTTTCAGAGTGACAGTTTGTTGTCTTGAAGCAGGCAGTTCCCCAAGCAGAGCCTTCCCACCAAGGATGCCTTGAGCTATTCTCAACTTACTGTTAACCACAGCTGATGAAAGACCAAGACTCAATTGGCTTATGGAGACATGCAAGCAAGTTTTGATGTTGTTTACATCAGGTGGAATGAAAATAGTTAGAAGGAAATAATCAACTTAGAAGAGTCTTGGGAGGTAGCAAGGGAGCACCATATACTGAGCAAATGTTTAGTATAAAAAAAAATTATGAGCGTGTGCAAATATTACGAAGTACATGAAGTACCCCTTGGTAACAGCTTATTTTCCAAGCTGAAGGGAAATACACTGGAATCTTCCCTTTGCTAGAAGGTCATTTTTGTGAGAAGTGAGTAAGAGTGTGGAAGGAAAGGAAAATTGGAGTTGCCTCAAGGGAAATAAAAGGAATTAAATTGAGAGTCGACTGTAGAAATCTGCTTTGCACACTCACACCAATTTTACGGAGCTCAAAATTAATTGAAGTGATTCAGGGAAACTTGAAGTATTGGGCAGTCTTAATCACACTTGCTGTAAAAGTTTATTCTGAAAACGTGCTCCCTGAATACTGGTTTAGTAATCAGAGATCATGTATTGGCTACTACTAATTGAATGACTATTCAGAATCCTTTACAGCAACTCTTTCTAGCAAAAGAGATATTTTCTTATGTGTGACTCAACTCAAATTATCTTTCATGCCTATAGGTACAGCTCTCCTATCTTCAGAGAAACAATTGCTCATAGCAAATATCGACGCATCATGCACGTGTCAAGTTGCCATCTTCATCATTCTGTTGGTTTTTTTTTTGTATTTCACTTAAAAAATAACTTGATTTTAATTTTTCTCCAGACCTCATATGATAATCCATGCTTGTTTTCTTTACAAAGATGCTGTCTAATTGGTGGACTTCTAATGAAATTCATGTATGAAGTCGTTATACTAGGTTACCTCTTCAAGCAATAGATTCTTTGGAATTCCCAGAACTGTTTTTAGCCCTGGGTGGCATCTCCATATTCATGAAGCAAATAAGGTTTTAATGGTACTGACTAAGCTCCAGTGCTTTTGCCTAACAGTTTTAATAGTAAGTCTTGCACTGCTGTTACAAATGTTGTCTGAAAAAGTATGATCAAGAAGCTGCTTGGAGTCCTTGGGGTGGTTGTGAGCAAGTGAGGTGATCACCGGGGTCTCAGTCTGACTGTAAATGAATTGTCAAAACCAACATCACAAGCAGGATTCTGCAGGCTTACGTAGGTGAAGTCAAACATCTACAAGTCAAGGTCATGGGCATTGCTACCACCTCAAAAATAAAGTTTAAACTAGTAATTATCATATTTTTACCACTGTTACTCTGCAGAGTGTGGTATCCTGAGCTTGATGTTGGCGCAGCACCAAGTAGAGCTGGTAGATTGTGTAAATAATCACAGAATCACATAATCACAGATAAATAAATGCATTTTTTGCTTAGTGTTGATAGTATGGTCATAAATAGAGCTGAATTTAATTCCTAATAGCAATTAATTTATATTCCAGGTATATCCCCAGTTTTTCCTTGAGTCCATGTGGATTTCTTTATCATTTTTTTTCAAGTTTCCTACATCTGCTGCCTGTAGTGGGAGGAATTACTCATTCCAATAGTTTTGATCATGCCTGCCCTTACTTCACATTGATGCCCCTACGTCTACAGGAAAGAGAGCAGTTACTAAACAGTCCTTCTCTGTCCTTTCAGAATTAGGCACACTTTTGTCACATTCCTCCAAATGATCCTTTTCCTAAATTGAATAGTCCTGATTTATTCTATTATTCCTCTTATGGGGAGTTTCTGCGTAGTCTAGTTTCCATTTTCTGAAACTTTTCCATTTCTAATATATTCCTTTTGGGAAGAAAGGATCAGATCCATGCATGATATTCAAGGTCTTTTTACAGTGCCTCTTTATATGGTGCGTGTGATTGAGTCCTCATTTTGCTTTGGGCCTTAGACATTCAGATTTCTATGAGCTTCCAGGGACTTTTAGACTAGCTTGAAACAGTATTCTGCCTTGTAAGAGTTCAGATTGTCAAAGTAACCTCATTTGTCTTTTCCTTTTTTTTCTTTGAATTTTTAGACATCTCAAGAATTTTCCAGAAATGTCTCTTCAAGCAGTTTGTATGGTTTTTTATTTTATTTTATTTTTATTTTTTTTACCTTTTAACAAGTAACTGTATCAGCAGCAATCATAATCACTTGTCCACCATTCAAAGAAGCCAGCAATTTGCCTTTGTGAATTGCTGAGGAACGCAGTTACTTGAAAACCAGTACTGTCTCTGGGGCTCTTCTTACTATTTTTGCTCACTACAAGGTGAAAAATAAAAATAAAAATCACAAAAATGGGAAATGGGAAGCAGTTTTATTAGCCTGGATCTTAGATCTCTGTCTTATGCTAGCCAGTCCAAGCCATGAATGCAATCTAATGCCATCTAAACAGCAGCTCATCTAAATTAGCAGCACTACCAGCAGCAGATGCACTGGGGGAGCATCCACCTCCTTTTAATTTA